CATGGTTTTAGACTGTGTAAACTGCACATCATGGAAGAACTAATGCAACCCTATACCATTAGAGAGGCAGGGTTTTAGACTGTGTAAACTGCCCATAAATGAGGAACTAATGCATCCCTATACCATCAGAGAGGCAAAGTTTTGGACTGTGCTCTGATAACAGGCTGAATGGTTCCTCATCTCTTTAATACAGAGGACATGGCGTCCAAATAATGTCAATTTGTCTGACCAAAGAGCAGTTTTACACTTTGCCTCTGTCCCGATGTGGATCTGAACTGTAGATGATGGAATAATCCAATTTTTTCCCAATTTTCCCTTGAGGAACTTTATTGTGAAATTGTTCCACAATTCTTTGACTCTGAACCTCTACCCATCTTTACTTCAAAGATTTTTATCTTGTTTAAAATGCTCTTTACACTGACTTGTTGCCAATTAATCTAATTAATAGCTAAATGCTCTTCCAGTTGTTTCCTGTATGGGCAACTTACTTTGACAGCTTTTTGTTTCCCCAGTCCCAACTTTTCAGAGACGAACTTGCATACGTTTACAGTGCTCCACTGTGAATAAAATATGGGTTTTTGACATTTGAAAATCATTCCATTTAGTTTTTACACCGTATCGCAACTTTGTTGGATGTGGGGTTGTAAACATTTAGCCACAGCAATAAGATGAACAATCAAAACACAACAACAGTGTATGAAAGGGAATCTCACAAAATTCCAGACAATTTGCGCCATTCATGTAGGCGAGGGCACATGACGTGCCCGCTGCAGAAAGATTAGGACCATCAGCTGAGCGCGTCTCAATACCACATTGTTCCTCACAGTCCTGCGCTTGTTTTTCCTCCAACCCCCCAGCAGCTTATCAGAGGAGCACAGAAGCAAATCTCTCCCCACTTCGGCCTGCCAAACTTCAATCACTCTCAACCCACTTCCTACTATAAACCGTTAACAATCCGCTGCGCCGCCGAACAACGCCAAAGCCTTCCGTCGCTCTTTTCCAGGACATTTTTTGTAAATAGTCTGAAACGTAGCCGTAGCCTGCTCACTGTAAAAACAGCTCATGTTCAGGATAAACAAACACGACGAGTGGCAATTAGGAAAATCTGCTTTGGGTTTGAGATGACACAGCAAACTGGTCGCCTTTGTGCTCAGGTGACATCTGTATTCGAGCGACAAAAGGCGGCCACACAACTCGCCTCTGTTTCAGGAAGGGTGTGTGCCAGCCTGGAGTCATTGTACACCCGGGGCTCTCATTGTCTCTGCTCCGCGCTGATAACGGACACATCAGAGGGTAAATGTGGCAGCCGGGAGCAAATTACAGGCGCAATTAGAACAAGAAGATATAACTTCATTTGAATTTGCGGCACTTGTTTAAAGAATAGAGTCTTTGTAGAAGACAGAGCTGGAGGTGCTTCCTCAGATACCAGGTCAAGTACTAACGTTGCTCTCCGCATACCAAATTAGCAAAAATATACACATCACAGCAAATCTATATCCCTACAGAGCCATTGTGTACTGAGAATTGTGCACAGAAAGCACCTTTAAGAGCCGCATCAGCAGCATTTTGCCTTTGAGAAAGGCTCAAGCAAAGCAAGACACCCGTAGCTGGCCTCTCCGCCTCTTAAAGCGCTGTAATGGAGATTAAAAGCTGCAGGATGTGCTCGTCTGGCACTCGCGTCAACAGGCCCGGGCTCGCAACAAAAGGAAGAGCACACATGCGTCCTCTGTGAACTAAAACTGCTCCAACGTTGCACCTGCTGGCGACGAGCAAACATGTTCGTGTTTGACCAGGGTTCGTTGCCTTGGGAAATCAGCGATGCAGCGAACAGATGTTTGAGTTTCAGGGTGATAGCCGTTTGTTTTCTGCATGCAGACGATCTTTAACGGTTGCTTCATTTGACCCAACCCTGCTTCAGGTTGTCCTAATGCATCAGTACCTCCTTGGAGTAAATGAAAAGCATGTTTTGAACGTTACAAATCTGGAAAGCATGTCTCACCTATGTAGAGGGAGGCGTCTTTCTTCTTCACATGATCATCGATGTAGGAAACCCCCAAGGGCTGCACTGGTGTGGCGCCAATCCCCAAAAGGACCTGGGCTCCGATCAGCAGCAGGTACATCATGTTGGTGTTGGTCTTTAGGGCGCAAAAAGTGTCCTCCTGGAGAGGCTCGCTACTGTTGGAGCAAACGTCCCGACCCAGGTCAGTCCTCTGGATTTTCACTATCTCGTACTGGTTAGTCAAAAACTCGGGCAGAGCAGACAGAAGAGCGCCGAGGGCCATGACGATGCCGCCACAGCCGATCAGACGAGGCCGGTGCGCTTTGGCCCCGAAGTAGCTGACAAACAGGATCAGCGCCAAGTTGCCTATCTCAAAGCTGCTGGCGATCACACCGGCGTCTGCGCTCTGCAGGTTGAACCGCCGCTCCAGGGTGGTCAGCACGCTCACCTGAAAGCAACAAGGCCAAGAAATCAAAGCATGAACAGGAAGAAGGGGTCTAAACTTTATTCAACTAGAGTTAAAACAGACAAAAATGAGTGTAAGTGGGATTTTACGCTCTTGGTTAAATCATTATTTTAATTGTGCAAGTCATCTTGTTTCAAAGTGTGCCTTTCCATTACTGCACTATCCAAAATGAGACATTCAGATGTTCCACAGCGGGGCTCCACCCTGCCAACACGCCTGTTTCTGATTACAGAGGCAAAGCAGCATCTATCCCAGGGATCACCACCAGTTTCTGTTTTGTCAGCTGTTATCCATACCAGAGTTTAGAGCCAACCAGCTTTCTGCTGAAGCTAAACACAACAACAACAAAAACTTGTTTGCATCAGTTTGTCTGCAACACAGTGGCAGTGAAGTGACTCAGAAAAACTGGTTCATACATTTGTCACGTCTAGACTGGGCTATTGCAATGGTTTGTTATCTGGGTGTCCAAATACTTCTTTAAAAAGTCTTCAGTTGATCCAACATGCTGCTGCCAGAGTCTTAACTGGAGTTAGTAGGAGAGAGCATACTGTATCTCTCCAGTTTTAGCTTCTCTCCACTGGCTCCCTATCAAATCCAGAATTGAATTCAAAATCTTACTTCTAACCTATAAAGCTCTCAACAACCTAGCTCCATCCCAATAATGGTCAGTCAGGTCATCTGGACAGTTTCTTTTTTGTACAAAGATGTTTCACCCTCTATCTGGAGGGCTTTATCAGTCTGAGGAGTCCCAAGTAAACTGTTTTCCCCACTAAGTAGTACAGTCCTTTAGTGGACCAACCAGTTTGCTGGTGATAAGATGGTTTCTGGGGGCCGTCCTATCCCCCGTCAACTCCTCCCAGGCAGGCAGCCACAGCCAAAGTGGTTCAAGACATCAAAGTTCATGCTCAATCATCCAGGTACAAAAACCAATAATGGTCATTCAGGTCATCTGGACAGTTTCTTTTTTGTGGAAAGACGTTCAGATGACCTGATTGACCATTATTGGTTTTTGTACCAGGATGATTGAGAATGAACTTTGAAAACTAGCTCCATCTTATAGATGATCACATATCTTATTATTCCATATCTTCCTAACAGAGCATGTTGCTCTCAGACTGCAGGTTTACTTGTGGTTCCTAGAGTTTCAAAAAGCAGAATGGAAGGAAGATCTTTCAGTTATCAGGCTCCTCTCTTGTGGAACCAACTTCCATTTTCTGTCCGTGAGGCTGACACATTGTCCACTTTTAAGACTGGGCTGAAGACTTTCCTTTTGATAAATCCTATAGTTAGGGTTGGCTTATTATGCTGCCATAGACTTAAACTACTAGAGGACAAATTGACCACATTTCCATTAATGAATTGTTAAAAATGAACAGTTTTCGTTTGATATTATTTCTATCTTAACGTGATCCTTGATCTACCATTGTGTAGCTGTTACTCCTTCCTGTTCTTCTCAAACCCAGCCGATCGAAGCAGATGGTTGCTTGTCCTGAGCCTGGTTCTGCTAAAGGTTTCTTCATCATGAGGGAGGTTTTCCTTTCCACTATCACCTTCATGCTTGCTCAAGATGAGAGTCTGTGATGGAGTTAAATTCAAAGCAGTCTGCTCCTCGGATAAATAGTGTTAACTTATTTTTTAATACATGAATGTTTCTGTTCAGTGCCCTGAGATGTCTTCTGTTGTGACTTGGTGCTACATAAATAAACTGAACTGAATTGATTCCAAGGCTGCAGGACTCATTTTTAAAATGGAGGATTGGGGATTACCCTTTTTTCGTTTGCATTTACAACGGGATTAAAAAACTTTTCAAAGTGCTAGAGGGGATAGCGATGATGACGGGTCCTGTGCAGTCCTGTTCTGGCTTTAAAATACGTGTTGCTTTACAACCTGAGAGTTTCCCTGAACTCTGTGCAGCAATTTAAACGTCTCTCATTTTGTGGAGTTGTCTACATCAGAGGGTACATCTACATGCACGGTACTATTTGATTTGGTCCATGTATGACTCGTATCTTAGTTTCACTAATTACGCACAGACCTTGGTCGCACTTTTGTGTCATGGTGGGTTTTTCTAAAGCCCAGCCCAGAACGGATGATGGAGAGCAGAAGGTGTGTAAGTAAAGTTTGTGCGTTTCGTGGGGAGGTGTGAATGGAATAAAAGCATCTGATGGGTGAATATACCACAGAGGTGTAACTTAAAGTAAAATATACTTTGATTAACAGTATTTATACTAACTATAAACAGGAACATACAATTCATGTAAACAACATAAAATATAGTCTTATTTAGAAAAAGACAAAAGTCGGAATGAATCTGTGTACAGTATTGTGTATTAAATACATTAAATAGCTTAGAATAAGTTGTATTACTCATGTTTTCCTCTGTCTTGGTTCTAACTCAGGTAAGTAACTTAGCACTTTACTTTAGTATATTTTTAGCATTTAGGTTTTCCCCCCCTAAAATCATTAAAATATAAGCCAATTTAGGACAATCTATCTCACATAGACAGCTGTGGCTCAGTGGTTACAGCAATCAGCCTCCAGTGGGAGAGTTGAAGGTTCGATTCCACCATCAGTCACATGTTGAAGTGTCCCTGGGCAAGACACTGAACCCCTAATTGTCTCTAATGTGTGTCCCATTGATGTATGGATATGATAAAGCACTGATTAGTCGCTATAGATTGATTTATTCAGATTATATTAGTAGCGATGTAGTAGAGTGTGGTTTGATGTGTATGGAGGTAAATGAGGCTCAGATTGTGTTGTCAAGTGCTTTGAGTAGTCTGGTTGGCTAGAAAGATGCTATATAAGTACAGTCTATCCTTGGAAAAAGTTACTGTTTCTATAATTGGTACGGTGACAAAAAAGTTAAAGAATCATACGTTGAATATTCATTTTTTCAGTGTTATGATTGCTTTACTGTCTGAGCTGAAGCCAATAAATAGCTGACAGTACTGAACCTCGTGAAGAGGGACTAAAGCTTATGTAATGACATTAAAGGCTAAATGCACTGACATGGTCTAGAGCACTTGTCAAAATCTGATCCCCCAAGATGATAATTTAAATGTAAAATATTGTATCTCTTCTAAATTTTCTTTAAAGAAACTGATAAATACATCAACAAAGTCCATGCTCAATAATCCAGGTATACAATCCAACATTTTTCAGTCAGGTCATCTGGACAGTTTCTTTATTTTTTTGTGCAGAAATGTTTCACCTTCCATCCAGAAGGCTTCATCAGTCAAGGAAACACAAGGAAATGTTTCAGCACAAAAAGAAAAAAAAAACTGTCCGGATGGCCTGACTGAAAATTGTTGGATTGTATATCTGAATTATTGAGCATGGACTTTGTTGGTTTTGAACCAGTTTGACATGACTGTCGACAAGGAAGAGTGCCAGCACCGGAGGAGGGGGCGTGCCAAAGAGACCATCTTAGCACCAACATAACTGGTTTGTTCCACTTTGAAGTAAGCTGTTGGAAGAAGAATCAGTTTTGTGTTGTGTGTTTCTTTGACTGATTAAGCCTTCTGGATGGAAGGTGAAACGTTTCAGAAAAAAAAAAAAAGAAACTGTCCAGATGACCTGACTGAAAAATGTTTGATAAATACATCATTTAGTATAGACTTTTCTTGCCAGCTGGCTAACTTTGAAGCCAGAAATAAGGTTTGGTCATTCTGTCATTATTGTTGCTGATGTGGACAGAGTAACCGAACATCATGAGACAGTTTAAACTCTTGTTCATGAACCTGCAACCAAGAAAACTGACTCGACTGACTGAGTTAATGTAGCAGCTGAAAGTGGCCCGTAGCTCGGACAGTTTTTTAAATTTTGTCTCCTTTTGATAACTGAGTTTGACACCTCATTTGTGGCATTAAATACTTGATGAAGATCGAATGTGTTCATTGTTACAAACACAAGGCAACGGTCTTGTTCCTTTGTCATACATGTTTAAAACGAGCTTTCTTTTATGGCTTTTTATCAGTCAGAGGTTACGGCAGGTCATTCCTGCAGCTGCTCTGAACACAACTGCAATAATCAACTCACAGCAGATCAGAAAACAGACGACTGCTGGGAGCTGGAGTCCTTCACCGAATTACCGGGACGGTAAACCTTCAGCTTGGGTTATGATGTTTCTGCCCGTTGAACGGAAGTTTTTTCTTACAAACACACTGGATGGGCATTACTGACCGGCTTCACCCGGCAGGCGTCTCATCACACGTCTCATCGTCCCACTTTAAAAAAAATGCACAATCCAATCAAGCCCTTTGCTCCAAAGGAAGACCTGAGTCTGACTGAAAGATTTCCATGAAAAGAAAAAGCCTTGGGATAAGAAAAGTTCTTCACGTTGAGCTCCTCAGCTCTGACTTGAACAGGCAGGTTTCCATGGGGAGTCGAACCAAAATAAATTACAGCGTGGAAAAAACAGAGCCCACAGTCAGCGGTCACGGCCACATTTAGACCACATTGAGGCAGTGGAAATGTTTAATCTGTCGCTTAGCAACAAACCCTTTTTAATGCTGAGCCTTTTGACAAAAATGTAGTTTTATCTAAAAAAAAAAAAACAAAAAAAAAAACAGCATGGACAGTGAAAGTTACAGTTTAGCCCTAACAAGGAGATGCTCAAATTGTGTCCTTTGTGTTGACAGAGCAGCTGTTTGGAATTAAAGTTATAACTATTTAGGATCATTTCCACTCTGCTTTATGAGCTGGAGCTCAGTGGACGGGGACAGCACGGCTAACGATGCTACGCAGTTAAACATTAGTCGTGGGGACACAGCTCCGTCCAAACTTTTCTAACTTTTTTAAATGTATTTCTCACATATAAGCACAGTTTGAACGATCTGTGTTTTAGCTCTGCATCTGGGCCACAAAAATTAAAGAAACAAACTAAAACTATATTTAAAAAAAATACACACAAATCTGCCTGCCTGCATGAACCAAGCCGCTTGTCACAGTTGATTTATTTATTTAAACATTTACTGCGTTGTTAGGAGTGCTTAACGTGAAGTTGTCCATTAATGGCTACTCTGCACAAAACTGCCTCAAGCCAACAGCAACAATAGATTACCTGGGTGTAACATTTTGATTTATGTCTTCATTAAGCCCCTTCTAAACACCGAACCCTTTGTTTGACAGGTCTGTCTGTTGTTGGAGCGAAGGGAACACAAGCAACAAAATCTTACAAGCTTAGCTGCTGCATCGACGCACAACTCGCAGAAAAGTACAATTAAATCCCAGAGCCAAAAAGGTATTAATGAATAAACGTGAATTAAACAACTCTACTATAATAGACTGTTGTGAGTTGTTTGGTATTTGGACTATTTACCGGTAAATGTCACAATCTACAATAGAAGAGGGGAGTGATGGGGTGAGTGTGTGAGAAGTTTATGTAAGCACGGAGAATTGGTCTGAGGAGAACAGAGATGATGCTGGGGCATTGTTATTATTATTACCGTATTTTTCACACTATACAGTCAGATAAGTCAAACTTTGTTCAACTCATTCACAATAACCATATAAAATCAGTTCGAGGTCAGTAAGCACAACCAGAATTAATACATAAGGCGCACCAGATTATAAGGCTCACTGTTGATTTTTGAGAACATTACAGGATTTTAATGTGCACCTTATAGTCCGAAAAATACGGTACTTTAAAAAACTTTCAGTTCAGTGAAACGAGGCAGCTCCAGTGAGTTCGCTGCGTGGTGTTCGTTTCATTCCGCTCGCTTGATTTTTATGACCTCTCATTTTTAATTTTCTGTTGTGTTGTTCCTCTTCAGGGTCAAGCGCAGTGGATGTCTGTCTACACTCGTCATCGGGTTGAAAGTGGGGCGAGAAAACCACGTGCAGTTACATTTTTGTTTGGATTATTTCAGTAATTTATCTAAATACGCTGTACTAAAAATGTGACGGGTTTCTTTTTGCTATTTCAAATTTATGAATGAGAACATGCATGTTAGGCTGATTGGTAACTCCAAATTGTCAGTAAGTGAAGGGTTGACAGAAGGAAACGGCAATGTTGTCTGCAACCTTTACATTAAAACAGGCAAAAAATCTTAAGAAAAATGTAATTTAATAAGTATACTGCACTATATACAAGGTTTACTATACACAAATGTTCTCAGTCAGCCATCTTGTGTACTGCTTGGAGTGTCCAAGCTCCTGAGAGGCCGACTCTTCCAGGAGCTGCTGGAGTGGAGCTTCATCTTCCTCCTCATCACTTAAGAGAGGCACTCACATCGTATTTAACAAGAACTTCTGTAGTTGACTTTATGTCATTACAGTGTTTTCAATTCAGGGTGGTCAAAAACATATATTTGAAAGTTATAGCACAGGAAGTCCTTTGAAGAGTATGAATGACCTTTTTTTAAATTAGCCAGACTGACAGATTTCTCTCCTAAATGATTTAATTCATTATATTTAGGATTTCAGCTCATGTAGTCGTTTAATACCATTTATTTTTCATATTCGATCACTTATTAAATTATACTTACCACAGTTACCTCAGAATGGTTCTAAATATAATCAAGTTTAGCTCATCCAAACAGACACGACACTTTGTTGTTGCTAAAACTCTGTGTAGAAATAAAGTTTGCAGGCTCTTGTGATAAACTACAAACATCAGAAACCGACTCTCACAGAGAGAATGTTTTAAGTTGAAAGTAAAAAAATTAAAGTTAAACAGAGACACACATTTCTGCTCTAGTCTGGGACATACAAATGTTCATCTTTTAGCATAAATATTGTTTAATTATAAGAAGTAAAGCAGCAGACGCTGCCTCCTGTCACGAGACACTCAGGTGAGCTCTGTTGTGGTCTCCTTTGAGGACGTTTAGTCTAACGTGCACAAGTTGCACGTCTGTACGATGATGACAATGAACACATTAACGTTTAATACAAAGTTAGACCTAATATACAAAAGTCCCAGGAGGTGGGGGTAACGATGTATCAGTTCTGGTATCTCCCCCGGCTGCAGTGAATCGTTCACAAGCGAACACGTACGTTAAATTCGTATTATTACGTCATCACCTTTGGTTAGGGTAGAGAGGTGTCCTCCTTGGACAATAGTCCAGGAAACACTGATGGGCGATCTCACCTGCAGTCGGTTTCTGAGTTAAGCCTACAGTATACTCGCACGTCCTGTCAGCCGCGCGGAAACTGTGCGCACTGTGCACAGAGGGTTCAGACTTCATACTCAAGCGTCCACCCGGGGCGGCTTCAGTCAAATCCACAGACAAGGGGCGTTTACCTTCGGGACAAATTGAGGTTGCCGATTGGTCATTTGCTGACACGCCTACTGGATTGATTGACAGGTTGGGGAAAAAAAAGGCGAGAGCTGGCAGCCTCAGCTGCAGCGGTGTTCTGTGTTTATATGTTGTTAATAAAAAGTTATAAAATTAAAATAAAAAAAAAACAAGGAGCACTGGCCCTGCAGCCCACACATCAGACCGGCCCAACAGGAAATCTTCAGACCCTCCCGCAGTCACGCTGGACCTGATTTGAATTCTCTCGTGAAAAATTCCTTAATTTCTCACAATTTCAGACATGGCATCCACGGACGAGGAGGAAGAGATCTCTTGCCTCTTGAAAAAAAAACCTAAAGAAAAGGCCATTAAACTTGATCAGGGATGAAGAAGGGGAATTTGTGTGTCATATACAAAACAGTCCGTCTCCGGGCAGTTTATTGTGCGACACCGAGTACACGTACGTAAAAATTTATCTTTGCACGGACATGCCCTGCGGGCGTCCGCTTCGACTCTAATCCGGTACGCACGGAACTCCACGGACCCACGTCCGCGTGAGTACACTGGAGGCTTCAACCCTCTGTGCACAGTGCGCAGAGTTTCCGTGCGGCTGACAGGACGTGCGAGTATACTGGAGCCTTTAGGAACATTACAATCACCTGCTGTGTATCAGACAGCAGGCCCCGCCCCACTCTGCTCTGATTGGCTCAAACTGTGGCTCTGGTTCTCTTCATTGGTTGAAAGCAGCATCCATTTAATCCCTGTATCATCATTAGATTGGATGGTTTAACAACACCACAACAAACCACCACCCACATACTCACCAACTTGGCTCTGTGACTACCTCCATTGCTGGCCCACATTCCAACACTCGTACTCACTCACAGGCTCGCAGGTGAGTCAGCAGTGGATGAAATTCAAGCCATTGTTTTGGTATTTTGACATTTCTTGTCCAGTGAAGCAAAACTAGTGGGAGCTCAAATGTCAGCGTCTCCATTTATTACCTCCGTTTGATTCTTTGTCACAAGGAACTGATTAAAACCACTTAAGCCAAAATGCTCAATTAGGGTAAGTGAATTTGTAAGCTGGAGAAAAAAAAACAAAACAAGGATGTTTGTTTCACTTATGAGTTTCAGCCGAGCTGTTAAATCAGGGCTCGCAGCACGTTGCTAATTGTCTTGAACACTAAGCAGCTCACAGAAGGAAAAAGGAGCCACGGTAGTCTCCTCTGCCAACAAACACTCTTACTGTAAGTGTGCACGTTTAAGTGAGCTTTTCAGACCGACACCGAGCCAGGAACTCAATGTTCTGCTGTGCAAAGAAAACTTCATGGAAATCAGCTGTCGTGGCCTGCTGAACAGGAGCGCGCCACGACCCACGGGTTTGTCTAACAAAATGACTTCAAACCTCGTCTTCGGCTCCAGGTGTGCCGTCTACCCACTGTTTGTACAGGTGTCCAGAACAAACGGGCCATAAAAAACACTTTAGACCATAGCCAACACCAAATAAACTGGGGGAAAGATTTGTATCAGAGTGGCACCACCATGCTCAGCAGGTCCACTTCAAGAAAAAGATAAGATGTTCCACTCCAAATATGGCTGAGGCATTCAGGGCTTAGTTTATTAATCGAGGAAAAGCTTGGGAGGGAAAGAGAATAAACATTAGTGTCTAAACAAAACGTTCACAGCGGTGGCCTGAGGAAGTGGAGCTCATCTGTGATGCTTTGATGAATAACGTGGGGCACGTCCAGAAGATGTGCTCCACAAAAAGCTCTGCGTGCTTTCATGCCTTTTTAGACATTTTTTATTTCAGTGGCATAAAACAACCAGCTTCACTAGTGGGGGGGGGGGGGGGGGTGACCTCTGAAAGAAAATCACACATGTATCAGTGTGAGAAACTAAAAGTGAAAGTGTGCACATCTGGAGAAATGTTGGACAAAATGAGTGGCGGAGGCTGAGGGTCTTGACCTTGAACGGCATATGGATTAAATTATTATTATTATTAGTTTTATTTAACATACTAAGGAAGCTGCTATGGTTAAAAAGACACGGTTTGAGTTTAAATTTACTATAATAAACACACAGCTGGACATTTCCTCACATCGCTCTGCAGACTGGACTTAAAGAGATGGAGACAGGCATGACTAATAATAATAATAATACTATTAATAATAATCCCCAGAAAGCCCGAGCCCAGACCCGGTGTGGGAGTCCAGGACTCCGTGGACTCACCAGGTACGCGCCCACGGTGCCCTGCGCGAGCATCAGCGCGCACTCCGCCACCAAGAAGATCTTGATGTTTGAGAAGCATGTCGGCGCTTTTTGGAGGCCGTCTGTCTCCAGCATGTCCCCGCCGCTCCGCTCCGAGTCCCGGTGCTTCTTCACCTGCATGGCTGCTCCTCTTCCTCCTCCGCTGCGTTAAACCGGACAAACACCGGCGGGTGTCCGCGGCGGGCAGCTGCACACCGTTTCTCTTTCCTCCCCACCGACGGCTACATCCACTCTTCAACCCCCCCGACCTGTTAGCAGTCTGTCGTCCGACCGTTTAAACATCGCCCCCTCGACGACGAGGCGCCGAAACACGTGGACTGAGAGTCGAAGGGTGTACCGGAGGAGGCGCGACGAGTGAGCCGCCGACGCGGGACTTTCCGTGAGAGCGCATGTTTCCGCCGCTCCGAGCTGCAGGTCCCGTCCCTCTCCGAACTCCGGCGGCTCTGGACCGTCATGTGCTGGGTCCCACCTCCTCTGTAGCTCCCACAGCGGCCCGAGAGGCGCTGTGCAGCATCTCTCTATCTATCTCTCTTTTCTTCTTCTTTTCCTGCGTTGACTCGAGGCGAGCTCTGTGGTTCAGAACTTTGTGGGTCTTCAAACACCAAGTGGAAGGGGCTGACGCAGTGGCGCCTCCAGAATTGTTTTAATGGGGTGGCCATGTGGGGGGCCCTGAAAACCCTGGGTGGCACTCTAAAACCAAAAGCAAGAAGTTGTGAGATTTGTTACACCAAAGGTTAATCAGTTACAGCAACACTGTACATAGAGAATGTATGTCTACTTTAGTTTCTATTATTATTTTTACTCACAGGAATTGTTGATGTCACCTATTAAGAAAAGCACGGGAACTAGTCAACCTACTGAAGCTTCTCCTCAAACGTTTGTTTATATATATATATATGAAAACCTTGTTCCTGATTTTGTGAACACTTAGTAGTCCTTATTCAGGAGGATGACATTTATTTATTTTTATTATAAAATATATGTATTTGTACTTTTAGGGGAGTGGTGACACAGAGGTTAGAGAAGGTGGACCTGTGATTGGAAGGTCACCGGTTCTACTCCCTGCATGTACAGCATCAAAATGTGGGTGAGAAAGGTGAAACACCCACACCTGCCTGGGCCCTTGAGCAAGGCCCTTAACCTCCACCATCTGCTCCCCCCCGGGCGCCCCAGAAAGCAGCTCTCTGCTCCACACAGAGGGCTGTGGCAGCTCAGTGGCCTGTGGTTGTGTGAGAAAGGACATTCTGTGTAAAAACAATTGCCAAGTCTTCGTGTGAGTTAGTTCATTGAAGTGACCCCTGAAGAAGTGAGCAGCTGAAAAAAATGTATTTGTACTTTTAACTCATAGTAAAATAAAAAAAATTTTATGTTTACAAGGTTCTATTAATTCCAAATAGGTGGCCGTTGCCCCCCTTGGTGTCACCCTTGATCAAGTAACTCTTGTTTTTTATACCAAGAGTTCTGGGCCTTGTTTATATTTCTGTTGCAGTTTTGCTGTTCGTCTACATGACAGCAGCGGTCCTATTCTCTGACACCGAAACACTTTGAGTCCAGGTCTCAGAGGGGAGGCTTTTTGGAAACGCTTGGCATCGCACATGCGCACTACAGACAACCACTGACAAAAGCGAACTTAAAGATGAATCATCTTAAGAATAGTTTCTTATAGTTTTTGCCTGATAATGAGGATAGTCAGTGAAACAACAAATTAAGTTTATTGGATGTAAAAAACAGAAGCAGTAGGCATATCTATACTTTTAGACTAGAATGCATCGCAAACATTTGACTGAAGATGTGCATTAGTTTCTGTAAATCGATCCTCAAGACTCAAGTATCTGCAAGCACGTGCGTGTCTTTAATGCACAAACACCACAGTGCCTGAACAGCAGTGTGAAAGTGTAACTTTTCACAATCAACATCAAAAAATCTAAAGATGGTTTACATTTAAACAAGGCCTCAGACTGAGATCGTTTTATATTAAGAAAAGACAGACTTAAAATGGTTTTGGTCCAACCTTGGCAGTAACTTCCCACAATATTTTGCTCGGAGTGTTAGTAAGGTCATCTCCCTTGGCCTAGAAATATTTTTTTAATGACAAATCAACTCAGTTCAGTGATTCTCTGTGTAACAATTTTTTTAAACTAAGTACAAAATGTCTGCGCATCGTTATCGATAATTCCTTGGAAATAAACCTGTTGTTTAATCCTTCATTTGGGTGCTCGCACACACTGTCATCACTTCAACACATTATTGAGATGCAATAAAACTTGTCACATGTTGACTGCTTTGCCTCTGGTACTACCTCACTTTGCAGCTCAGAGGTGCATCGTGGGTGGGTTGGCTTCAACCACCCTCGCCACCTTGGTGTTTTTGTTCTGCAGTAGTTTTCATTAGGTTGTTTATAAGAAGAAAAAAAAATCAACCTTTTGATAAAAAATCCAGAGATTTCTGCAAATGAGCAGAAATGGTTTCCATAAATAACCTAGCTGAACTAAATTAAGCTACCGGTAATAGTCAGCTGTTGGTTTCTCCTCCATATTTTCTTAGGATATGTGGTATAAGTCTTTTTATTTAACTTATTGTTTAAAAAAAAGCAGTAGTTTTACCCTTCTACACATTTCATTTTCTATACTTGCCTAACATTCTTTGGAAATGAAGTGGGCTTTTTCTTGCTGTCACTGGGTGCGAGGTGGATCCAACCCTGGACAGACTAGTCCACCACAGCGTCATCACAGAGGAGACATGAGACAAACAGTTCTAACCGCAGCCCTACAGTAGTAACATCTTAAAAGTTGCTTATTGCAAAACAGCCAACACATTGTTGCCACTATCCGTCTTAAACAGAACCTTGTAAAAGACATACCAGAAGCAATAATGTTTGTACAATGTGTTTCCACCAATTATTGGATTATCATCTCAGCATGTCTGGGATGAGGTGTCGCAGTGGCTATGATGTAATGTAATCACATAATGTGATAATTATTGGCTTTAATGAAAAACATGTTGTGTTATTGCTGCTAGGGTTGTATGACTTGGCAAAGTCAGCATGCTAAGATCAAGAAAATGAGTAATGGATAAAATGTAAAACAAGTTTAATGGAAGGGAAAATTAACACTTAGAACCTGGACTAGAATATAAAACTTGTTTTGTTGCTAAATTTAGTAAACACACACAACATGCATTATATATGTATGCACAAATCTGCATCATGTGTGGTATATGCCAGGGTGATGCTCTGTCCCCACTCCTGTTTCTGCAAAGGCATGAACCCCCTCATCCAGATCATTGCAACAAGTGGCTATGGATACCAGTTCTAAGGTGGAACAACCAGTGGTGCGCACAGTTACGCTAATCCACTAAAAGCTAATAATGGAACAGACATTTGAACAATTAGCATTTTCACTAGCCTTGGAAACCGTTAGGGGCAGCATGGTGGCACGTTTGGTAGACCAAAAACATGCATGTTAGTCTGACTGGTAACTCTAAATTATCCCTAGGTGTGAGTAAGAGAGTGAATGGTTGTCTCGTTTGTCTCTATGTGTCCCTGTGATGGACTTGCGACCTGTCCAGGGTGTCCCCTGCTGGATATGGGCACCAGTGACCCCCGTGACCAGAAATGGAAGAAGCGGGTAAAAGATAATGGATGAATGAAAACCGTTAGCAGAATTAACTCCCGCTAAATGAGGTTTCACCAACTTCAAGTCCTCTAACAAAACTCAAGCTTGTTCCTTGTTCCTTGTGGGCGTGTCTCGAAAAGTCTTCTAGGCAGGCTATTGGCTGACTGTGTACACATGAAAAGACGTGATTGGTCAACGCAGCTTCAACTGGATGAAAACGTGTGGTGTGACGCAGACTGAGTGACAGTCGTCTTAGCGGTTAGTGGTTTAGCGTTAGCTTCCCTAAGTTATTTTCCCTGTTTAGCGATTTTGCGTAAATTTTCTTAGTGGAATATGGGTTAGCGAAGCTAATGTTTTGTTTAGCTGTGCCCACCACTGGTCATAAGTCACCTCCTCTACATGGACAACATCAAGCTGTGTGACCAAAATATGAGAGACATCGACCCAAGATGAAGGCTGTGCAAAGATGTCCCTGAGATGGTCCAGCACATAAAAGCAATGGTAAGATGCAGGCAGACAAAGCATGCATGAAACACAATAACCAAGTGGCTGGAATAATATACAGGAACATTTGTGCTGAGTACAAACCAGATTGCCCAAAGTTAAAGACTCCACCAAGGGTGGTGGAGTGTGACAGGACTAAGACACTGTGGTACTTCCAGATCCACGTTGATAAATAGGCGATGGCTAACCAGCTAGACATTTAGATGGTTGACGTGCTAGAGGAAAGCAGTGGTGACAGATGTAGCAATCCCAAGTGACTAACGTAAGGAAAAAGGAGCACGAGAAAGTCGAGAATACCAAGGGCTGAAAGGGGAAACATTGAAGTTGGGAGAGTCAAGGCATCAGTAGTCCTAGTGGTCATCGGAGCGCTCGGTGCTGTGACCCCCACACTGGAAGAGTGGCTCCAACTGATCCCAGGATTAACCTCGAAGATCTCTGTCCAGAAGAACGCAGTCCTGGGAGCTCCTGCCTCTGGTTCAGGACCAGAACTTGAAATGAGGTGAAAACGCCCACTTGGAAAAAATAGGGTGAGATTTTTTTTAAAACGCATATGTATTTATTATTTGTATTTTCTCAAAAGAAATCTTCAAATAACATTTACATAAAAAATAATATAATGGCTATCTTTGCTATAGCCACGTCAGCAACATTTTTATCATCTATATCTATAATAAAAGGAAATTTACATCTTTCTTTATCTTTATAAGAAGGAAAAACATTTCAAATGGTGACATTTTTCCAGTCAAATGAAACTCCTTCAGTTGGCTTTATTAGCCTAAAATAAAAACTTACAGGCAAATTTTATCCCACAATAATTCTTCATGTTAATAGAAGCAATAAAATCCAGTCATTATGGTAAAAAATGTTCACTTTATTTATTTTTTCCTAATTCTTTTGGGATGAATCTTGCCGATCTGAAACCAACTCTTTCTTACTTCAAAGAAAACCATGCGACGCCTGCAATATTTGGCAGTGAACTGTGATTCATTGCAGCTCCGTCATGGTCAGATACTTTTGGCACTTGTCCAAAGTAAAGTAATCATGACCCGCACGCTCTTCCTCACTTTTGAAAAGCACTCTACCACACAGAAACCCTCCCCACAGGTCTGCACATTGCTTCCTGCCTTCCACCAACTGAGAAAATGAAACTGTGCATAAGGAAGGCAACAACTTGTCTGTTACATTGCACTAATCTAACAAAGCAGTAGCACAGCTGAGCAGCAATGCACAAAACCAAGAAAAGCATGCAAATACTGAATGAACATGGATATGAGAAATGTAAATCTAAAGCTGCTTTTGAAGCGAAGCCACGAGCCTGAAA